ATTATAATTATATTTATAATTGTAGTTATAATTATATTTATATTCATAATTATGATTATATTTATAATTACAATTATATTTATATTTACAATTATAATTATATTTGTATTTATAATTATATTTATAATTAAAAATCTATTTATAAATATAATTATAATTACATTTATAATCTTATTTATAATTATAATCTCATTTGTAATTATAATCATATTCATAATTATTATTGTTATTGTTATTGTTATTGTTACTGCAATTATTAGTATTATGAATACTTTAGATTACTTGAAATTGAGTTTAAATGTTATTTAGAGCTAATTTTTGGTATTGTTTTAAATCAATTTTAAATTTTGAAACATGAATGGTAAACAGTAAAGAGAAGCAAATTGGGAAACAAGTGAACGGAGGAAAGAATAGTTAAAAGATCATTTGTTTTTCATTTTCTTAAAATAAATATAAATAAATGAATAAATAAATAAATTAATCAATAAACTAAATTCGAATTTTAACTGACAGCAAATGAACACAAACAAACAAATGAAGAAGCAAATGAAGTAAATGAATAAATCAAAAAACAAAAAACAAAAATATGTGATAAAGGGATAAAGAAATAGCTAACAAAAGGCAAATGAAAAAACAATCCAAATAAAAGAAAAAATATTAAGAGAAATCAAAAGGGAAAAAAGAAAAAAAAGGAATTAAAAAGAAATTAAAAAGAAATTAAAAAGGAGTTAAAAAGGAATTAAAAAGGAGCTAAAAGGGAATTAAAAAGAAATGAAAGAAATAAAAAAGAAAGGAAATACACTAAAGAAAGAAAAAATAAAATATACAAAATAAAATAAAAATAATTAACTTACTGCATCCACAAAAACCTTCGTGTCCTCTGCGGGAATTTCTGCGCCGTCGAAGACCTGAAAATAGAAAAAAAGTGGAAATTTAATTTAATTTAATTTAATTCAATTTAATTTAAAATAAATAAAATAAAGTTAAAAGCTCTAAAACGCATGCAAAAAGCCTGGGCCTCATAAAAGAGAAGAAGCTGCAGCAGAGAGCAAGTCTCCTGCTGCAGCAGACGCTCCTGCTGCTGCTGCTGCTGCTGCTGTTACCTTTTTAGGGTTTTCTGCAGCGTCAGTCTGCGCTGCGGCGTCGCCGTGCTGCCAATCTCCTTCCTTTACCATTTTCGGAGTTGCTGCCGCAGAGCTGCGGTGTCTGTACACTTGAGGCTGCTGCTGCAGTCTGCTGGAGGCCCGAAACGGCGGCGAAGTGCTGCTGCAGCTCGCAGCAGCAGCAGCAGCAGCAGCTCCAGTGCTGCCCCTCTCGCGCGCAGCAGCAGCTTGCTGCCACTGAGGAAGCACCAGAAGCTGCCTTATGACCTGCGCCGTGCTGCTGAAGAGCCCCTAGCCGCGGGGAGCAGCAAATCATCCGCCTGTTGCTGCTGCTGCTGCTGCTGCTGCGCACGGCCGACTGCTGCGGGGAGGTCTTCGCGGCGGAGCTTCGGCCCGTGGTCTTCTGCTGCTAAGGTTTGCGAATTAAGAAATGAAGATAAAAAGATTTCAAGATTTAATAAATTCAAAAAGAAAGACTGTGCGCCTGCGGACAGCCGCAGCGTCCGAACCTGTAAGTACACCCGGACACTGCCGCGACTGCGGCGGGCGACTTCGCCTCAAAACTACCTCCTCGGAGCTCCCTTTGATTCTTTTCGTGTATTTAAGAAGAAATAACCAAAATTTTAATCCTTTTTGACACAAAACCCGCAAAGTAACTCCAAAATTGCTGCTGCAGCGCCAGACTCGCGCGCCCAGAGCTCCCAGCAGCCTACCCGCTATGCTCCGGAGGCCCCGGGCTTCCCCTGATAGTCTTGCCGCTGCTGAAGTTGTTTTTTGCAATTTAAACATTTTAAATTTAATAAAAGCTTTTAAACAAGTGGCATTTTGAGTTATTGCTGCGGCGAATGAGCCCCCACTCGCCGCTGCTGCTCTCTCGCCCTCCTGCGAGTGGCAGCACGCAACACTGCCTGCCCCCAGCTTGTCTGCTGCTGCTCAAACTGCAAAATAGAAAAAAATAATATTTCAAATTAAAAGCAAATTAAATTCCAAAAAGCTTTTCCGCAGAGGCGGAGCAGCAGCAGCAGCAGCAGCAGCAAACTGCCAGCCGCTGCAGCAGCTACTCATTCCGTTTTGAAGGGATAAATTGTTTTTCCAAAAGCAAAAAGACTAAAAGAACAAGTAAACCCCACCAACTCTTCTTGAAGTCCCACAAACAATTATTTCAAAACAAATTAAATTTACAAGACACTCCTAAAAAGTCCAGCAGCAGCAGCTCACAATTTCAATGCCGGATTCAAATTCAATATTTGCTGCAGCAGCAGCAGCTGCTGCTGCAGCAAACATGAAATCGAGCAATTTGGCTCTTCCGCGTCTCTCTGAGTTTATTCTTTTCCCTTTCTGAATACAACATTACTTTTATAAACACATTTTGCACTTATGCTTTAAATAATAAATACACTTTTCATTTATGGATTGAATAATATTATATTCTGCATTCATGCATACATATGGGGTGTACATACAGTCCAACTACATCTGCATGCATGGTGCGTACATACACCCCAACTCTCCGAACTAATAAACTGCTTTTCGAAAAGCAAAAAGACCAAAGCGACCAACTAAAGCCCCTAACTCCGCTTAATTATTATAAATATAACAGTAATAGTAATATAATAGTAATATAATAACAATAATATAATAATAAAATAATCATAATAATATAATTATTATTGTTCAAAAGCATTTGAAGACCCAACTAATTCAATTCCACTTTTATGACACTCAAATTTCGCCAGAAACCTTTCCGACAGAAAGCGCCGCCAAAACGCAAACCCTCAGGGCCTCCGCGCTTCGGCTTCTTCAGAGCAAAGTACACGACCCAGGGGGCCCCCAGAAAACCTAAAGGGGCCCCCCAGTATGGGCCCCCTAGAGGGGCCCCTGTTGGGGGGGCCCTCCCCCGGGCCCCACAGGAGGGGCCCCCAGAGGGGGCCCCCTAGGGGGGCCCCCTGGGGGCCCTGGGCAGTCTCAATTGCTCTGCCGCTTCCCACAGCAGCACACAAGGAAAGCCGCTTCTGCATGCTAGGGCTAGCAGCAGCCTGAGCCCTCCGCCTTTGCTCGGCTGCAGCAGCGGCAGCAGCAGCAGCAGCAGCAGCAACCCCAGCATTTGCTGCATCCCCTCGAAGCTATTCAACGCTTTGGAATCGCAAGGCATGAAAGCAGGGGCCCCGGCGCCACGCGCCTCCCCAGGCAGGCTGCAGCTAGCGGCTGCTGCAGCTCGCGGCCGCTGCAGCTAGCCGCTGCTGCCGCTGCTGCTGCTAGCTGCTGCTGCAGCTGGCCCCTGTAAATTAATTTCGCTACAAGCTAAACACTCATTGGTTGATGTACTGGGACGCGTCGATGGTCGCCGGCATCTCCGGAATGTGAACTTCGAAACGCGTTTGGACATCGTTCAGGACGTTGGTGTCTTCTTGGCTGGCGACGAAGGTCACCGCGAGCCCCTTGGTGCCGAAGCGGCCGGCGCGGCCCACTCTGGAGGCAGCAGCAAATTCAGAAACGCAAAAATGAACAAGTGCAGCAAAAACGAAGCAGAAATGCAGCAAAAGCGGAGCAAAATGAGGCTGTTTCGACCAGATCCGCTGCGGCTTGCCGTGGAGTTTGAGGTGTACGTACACCTCGAGACGCAGGTGCACGCGCTCACCTGTGCAGATACGAGTCGCTGCTTTCCGGCATATCATAATTAACGACAATATTAACTCTTTCGATGTCAATTCCGCGGCCGAAGAGGTCTGTGGCCACCATAATTCGTTTTTCGAAGTTCTTGAACTGCTGGTAGCGGTTGATCCTGCGGGGAGCACGGACACGCACAGGAAGTTGAATCTGGTGGAAACTCGGTGGAATCTCGGTGGAATTTTCGATTTTTTCCGGAAATAAGTTGAATTAAACATAAATAAAACTATTTGAACCCGGGATCTGCGATTTTTAGCGGGGATCCGCGGCGTTTTCGGGGAGTTCACGTTTCGGAGGTCACCTCTCCTCCTGGTCGAGTCCCGCGTGGATCGCAATGGAGGGGAAGTTGCACTCGGTCAGGAGCTTGTTCAGCGCCTGGGCCCTGGAAACGGACTTCACGAAAATAATGACTTGGTTGAATTCGAGGGAGTCCAGCAAGTCGTTGAGCCTGCGGTTCTTGTCAGCTTCCGCGAGCTTCACGTAGAACTGCAGCAGCCCGTGCAGCGTCAGTTTGCTTTCGTCGTCTATGAACACTTCCACCGGGTTCTGCATAAACCTTTTGCAAACTGCCCGCATTTCCCGGTTCATCGTCGCCGAAAAAAACATCACTTGCCTGAGCCCGCAGCAGCAGCAGCAGCAGCAGCACCATGAGCAGCAGCAGCACCAGACACCGCCGCCAGAACGGCCCCACAACCCCCGCAGCAACCCACAACCAGCAGCAGCAGCAGCAAGACGCCCTCGCCACCCAGACCACCCCCCGAACCCGCGTTTGAACAGCAGCAGCAGCAGCAGCAACAGCAGCAGCAAGACGTCCTCGCCACCCAGACCACCCCCCGAACCCCCGTTTGAACGGCAGCAGCAGCAGCAGCAGCAGCAGCAGCGGGAGTCACTTCTTTTTGGGAGTTGCGACGAAGATGGCCTGGACGTCTTTGCGCATGTCGAGTTTCTCGAGACATTTGTCGCACTCGTCGAGGACGAAGTGGGCGATCTTCGAGGTGTCTAGACACTTGTTCTTGAGCAGCGCCAAGACCCTGCCGGGAGTTCCAATCAGAATTGCAGGAACTCTTTTTGGATCTGCAAAAAGTTCCAAATGCTTCTGAAGAGGAACTCCTCCGTACACAACTTCGACTTTAATGCCCTTCAGGTACTTGCTGAATCTCTCGAACTCGTTTTTGATTTGAAAGGCGAGTTCCCGCGTGTGCGCCAGGCCCAGACACACCACCCCCGGCGCTGCTGCTGCTGCTGCTGCTGCTGCTGCTGCGTCTGCTGCTGCTGCTGCGGGGTCTCCGCTGCGCTTCGTCGCTGCGGGCGCCGCAGCCGCGGACGGCGACGCCGCAGCGCCCGCGTTGCCCCCGCTGCTCCCCGCGCTCGCTGCTGCTGCTGCTGCTGCGCTGCTGCTGCTGCTGTCCACGTTCAGCTGCTGCAGTATCGACAGCACAAACACTGCTGTCTTTCCCATTCCGCTCTTCGCCTGACACAAAATGTCCACTCCAGTTATCGCGTGCGGGATCGTCTCGTGCTGCACCTCCGACGGATGCTCAAACCCTGAAACCGCAAACCCTAAACCCTTCCAAACCCTCGCAAACCCTCGCAGACCCTCCCCAACCCTAATCCCCACAGCCCCGGCCTCTGCGCGACTCAACAAGTCCCAAAAACGCAAAAACCGCACCCAACGAGCTCCTGCACCCGCGAAAAGCCACGCAGCAGCAGCAGCAGCAGCAGCAGCAGCAGCAGCAGCAGCAGCAGCAAGAGCGAACCGGCGTCGCCTATGGCCCTGAGGAGTTCGGGTTTGAGGAAGAAGTCGCGGAAGCCGCTGGCGTGTATGGACACGTAATTGCCTCGGCCAACAACTTCTTCGCCGACGCCTTTTTATTTATTTATTTCTCTTATTTATTTTTGTTTATTAGGAACCTTCTCGGAATGCCAGGCATTAATTTGTGGGGCCCTTCGAAGCGAAAGGCTGCGGGGCTTTATGAGCCAAACGAAGGAGCAGCAGCAGCAGCAGCAGCAACAGCAGCAGCAGCAGCAGCAGCGGCAGCGGCGGCGACGGCACTCTGCAGGCGACGCGACTGCAGCAGCAGCAGCAGCAGCAACAGCAGCAGCAGAAAAGAGCTCCAGCAGGCGCAGCGGGGCCCCCAACAGGAGCAGAAACGGCAGCAGCAGCAGCAGCAGCAACGCGAAGAACAGGCGCAACAGCAGCAGCAGCAGCAGCGGCAACAACTACAGAGCACGCTCCGTCTCTCTAGGCTGCGAGTCCGGCTCATTTGTCCACTTCTCCGCATCCCTGCAGCAGCAGCAGCAGCAGCAGCAGCAGCAGCAGCAGCAGCGGGGCTCCAGCTGGAGCAACGCACCCCTGTACCCAGGGAGCCCCCCCGGG